GTAGAAGTCAATAGAGAACGAAGTTCAGGATGACGATCACGAAGATTGGAACCACTTTGAGCCAAAGAAATACGTGATGAAGATCTCGGTGGAAATAAACGACATTCATGTCCAGCAGCATCAGTACAAATTTTTAATCCATGACAAATAACATCGGGCGTTTCTTTCTTTTCAAAACCGTCGATAATGATTGGACCTACAAGATCTTATTCTTTTTCTTTGATTAGTCAAAACAAAAAAGTTACCCAAAAATTCTACAGCTTCTTTGCAATAGATTTTGAATTGAGGTGGTAAATAATTACAAGTTCGTTCCAGTGATTCAACAATACTTTCGTTATAAACAATCGATAAATTCTCAACGACACCTAACACAAGTGTACAAATTAAACAATCATTACCACCATTAACACCTCTAGCCATACTGCCATTGACTACAGGAAAAAAAACAGCAAGCAATAAACAGATCCAACCTAATCCCATATTCGACATTACTCTTGTCGGTTTTTAATAACTCTGTGATGAGAATATAGTAGACACTCCTTTTTCATACAATAATATTAGTGAATGGGAATAATATCAGCTGTATATATTTTCTTTTGTTATTTATTATTACGATCGTTCTAAAACAATGTGAAGGATAAATCGAGTGTATTGACATTATTCCCATAATATTTTATTCGAGAATATCGAAGCATAAATGCGTTTTTAATCATTAAATATTTCGAAATGTGAGAGAAAATCAGATAAAACAAAAGTAGGATAGATGAATAATTTTCTTTTTCATTGATATGCGATCAATTCTATATTCAATTAATATTCGATTATGTTTGACCAGTAAACTAGTAAAACGTTTTCATAGTTCCGGACATATTCCATTTGAAAAACGTGTTCCACAAGAATGTATTCGTTTATCCAATGTTCCATTATTAGTATCCATAGTAAAATCATTTTCTAAAATGAAACCAATGAAAGATTATACAATATCAAATATTCAACATGAACTAGGTGATATAAGTGCACAAGTCGAAGCATTAATAGTTCTTGGTGCATTACCCAATGATTTATATTTTCTTCCTCCATCCTATTCACATAATAAACAATTTCAATTATTTATTTCAAAACATTTTCGAGTTCCAAAAGAAAATTTCTTTGAATCATCATCATATCGTTTACGTTATAATTATGATAAATATCGTTTATTAAATGTTATATTTCATTTAAATAAAATGGTTCAAATGGAATTATTAAAAGAACGAAATAAAGAAAATAATTTACTTGTATTAGATGATGGAGGTTGTTTTTCTGAATCATTATCAATTTTATTTGATATTGATGAAGATAAATTAAATCGGATATTAAATTAATTCTGTCATATTTTAAATCAATTGAAATTCGTCTTGTTGAACAAACATCACGTGGTTTATTTAAATATCAAGATCAAATAAATATTTCAAGTGCATTAAGAAAACTTGGAATATCAATGATTGATGTTGCTTCAAGTCAACCAAAAAAAATCTTAGAACCTTCACTTATTGCTGAAGCATCATTAAATATGTTATCCTGTCTATTTTATGATACTCCGAAGAATTTAAAAATTCCTAAACCATCGAAATTCGATAGATGTTTATTACTTGGATATGGATCAATTGGACAAGCAATAGCTTATGCTCTAACACATAAGGGAGATTTAGGAATGTTTGCAAAAGATTCTGTTAAAATATCAGACATAGATTTAGATAAACAAAAATTAGCAGAAAATGATGGATTTCAATTATTTGATCAATGGAATAGTAAAGATGAATTTAATTATATAATTGCTTGTGCTGGTCGTTGTTCATTTCCAATATCATGTTTATCTTTAGTACGTAATAATTCTTATTTAATAAGTGTATCATCTGCAGCTATTGAATTTCCATTTAATGAAATGATTCAATATGCATTATTAAATAATGATATTAAAATAAATCTATCGAATACAAAAATCAATCGATTAGATGATAAAAATATACATCAAAATATAACATTTACAATTGAAAATAATAAATCGTTAACAGTTGTTAATGGTGGAATGCCGATTACATTTTTAGGAATTTTAAATCCAGCAATACCAGAAAAATTTGATATTACAATTAGTTTAATGATTGCAGCAAGTATTCAAGCAACATTTACAAAACAAGAAAAGAATCAACAAAATCGAATTATACCACTTGATTCGAATTATTCGAAATTTATTTTTAATTGGTTTAAGAATAATAAACATAATACTTAGAATTAAAATGTCTATTCAAAAGTCATATTTTCTACAATGTGTTCTTCGAATTCATCACTATCTATTTGGATAGTCGTGCACTTCGATTCATCCATTTTATTTTGTTAGTCTGTAATGTGTGCATTTATATTCAAATTGCTGATCGACATAGTCGCTACGATTACAGTTTTCTTTGCTTTTTTTTCATCCCACTTTACTCTTAGTAAAACGCGTAGCTATATGAATGCATGTCTAATTAAATTTTTATTTTGTCTGTAACATGAATATATATTTGTGAACGAAATAGAATTTGTGATAGCATATTTAACTTTGTACGAAATAGAAAACAAAAGAGAATAAATGTCAGCGACGTGATAATATTTTCACAAACATTGTACGGATCTATAATATAACTTTTACTATTTTAAAACCGGCTATAAAGTCCCACAGGTAAAAATTAGTATAATAATTGATATATCGAATGAAAAAGATAATCAAAGGAATCAGCCTTTTCCCGCCTGGTTTTCAACCAAAAAATCAGTAAGCATTCTGCACAGTGACTTCTCTTGGTATTAGTTTGAAAAAAAAATATGGTCGAGTGTCGGTTTTCTCTTGAGCCAGCGAAACCGAAATTCCGCGTCCTAATGCTTATGGCTCATGAGGAAAGAGTTGAATGGGTTAAAGCCCAAGAGAGCGGCTCGACCAGTTACTATGCATTATACATTTCTATTTTATGTTGATTCAGACTTCATGTTGTGCAATTACTCTTCTTTTTTTCTTTTTCGTTCTGTATTCTTCATCATAAACGTCTCTGACGATCACCGAATGAGAGGAAGAAAAAATGGTGGCACATCATTTTTTAAACCTCTGCTAAACGTTACGAAACTTTATTTTACCGCTTGCAAGAGACCAGCAAAACACTGCAATTCTAAAATAATACTACACAATTAGGCGATGAATACAGAGATACCGTCAACATCTGACCCGCACTTTCTCTCTTGACTTTTCAGTCATGTGACGATATTTAATAGATAAGCGATAGGTGTATGTTTTTAACTTTTAAGAGAAAGAAAAACATTCTTACTCAATTTCATCGATTACTCATTTTTGTTATTACATATATTGCGACACATCTGAGTTTTTTTTTGCATAGTTTCAATTACTGATAACATTTTATAGTTTTCTCAAGTGATTTCATATATAATAATGGCAGATAACGAACACCGTCAAAAGCTTATTGAACAAATGGATGAAATTGAAAATGATCGAAATTTATTTCAAGAAAAATTTGTTCAACATAAACAAAATCTAGAAGAACATTCATTAATAAAACAAATTGATCAATGGGAAAATGATTCAATTATTAAAATAAAACAAACAGCTGAAGAATGTCGACAAAATTTTATTAAATCTATCAAGAAA